AACGGCCAAACCGGGTAGCCGGAGCGGCCGTCTTCCGCTTGGCACCGACGCTGAAGAGAGAAATAATCCGGGGAAGCGCACCAGACGGCAATGCCGGTGGTGATCATGCGGCAATTCTGCAATGTTACCTTGTGAGTGTCTCCACGTATTCTCCCGCGGTGATGCGCTCCAATGAGAGGACCCCGGGAGCTGAGAAGTTGAAACAAGGACTCCAGAACCACGGTCTGGAGCTTCGAGGTTCCGGTACCCCAACCTTGTCCACCTAGCGAGAACTTAGAAGGCGAGCGGTTCGCATTTTGAACTGAGATTCAAAGCGCAAAAGAATACTTTACCGTTTCTTTGAGTTATGATTCTCAAGCTTGATTGCATGTGATATGTGATACAACCTCCAAGAGCCCCGCTACTACTTGACCTATTTCCCATCTTCCAAGCTCATTTTCAAATCTCTGTTTGTTACCCTTACGTTAAAAGACTTGACAAATATCTTTTTGGACACAAGAAAATCCCCCATGTCAATGCCAAGTCTTCTCGGGGCTAACTCGACCTTGCCACCGGCAGCAAGACTCCGAGCTCTTGGAGTACTGTTGACGCTAAAGGTTAGGTAGTTACTACTTAGGTATGGGAACAAGCAGACCTTGTACTGGTTGGAAGCTGGGCGACCTTGGCGGCGATGTCCATAAGGCCACGAAAAGTTTGAAAGTTCTTCCCTTCCGGCATTATCAAACTGGCCGAGAGGTATCGTTTGTTGAGGCGCAATCACATAGACAAGAACAGTTAGCCGCGAAGATCACGATTGGGGCGCTTGGCATGCGAGATGCATCCAGCGCGGCTGATGCTACCATGACGGACCCAAGGCCGAGGGCCCCGAACTTTAATCCCCTATCCGGTTTCAAATACGACACCACTGGCTTTCCCGTTTCGTTGTGGACGGAAAATCTATCGTCGGTCTCAACCCCAGCCCTAGTCATCGGAAGCTCACCACTTTGCGGGCAGTAGGTCGGCAGCGGAGAGAGGTCGCAAGAACAGGGAGACGGGAGCGTAAAACGGATTATGATTGTTGAAACCTAATACTTTCAAAATAGCCGGCAGCAGGCTAGATCGCAGACATGCCTGGCCCAGGATCTTGGCGGGCCTCTTGGAGGGAAAGGGGCGGTGCGCAACAGACGATGTAAAACCTTATCTCATCGTGTTAACAGAAAGTCTGACTTCTATGTAGGGAAACTGACGTGGGTGTCACTTGTTACCTGGGGGATTCCAGGTGGGAAGTGTATCTCTTCGAAGACCTGACAGAGGAGGTAAGTTCCGCTTGGTTTTGAGTTTCGATGTCAAGACCATATGATCGACTTCTATGATCGACTTGAACATACAAAAATAGAAAATCATTGCTATTTATAGGAATCTATGGGAACATCGAGAAGTTGCTAGCGCTGATCACCACTCCCAGTTTCTCTTGCTCGGCCTGCTGGCTAGTAGTTTAAGTTGACAACCAAAGCAGAAATCCGCTTACGCCAGTCCTAGGACCCTTCCAGTGGTGTAATCATCCATGGCCATCTTGCGGCCGGCGATGGCGTTGCGGAGATGAAGGAAATTCCTGAGCACAGCTAGCACGCACTAGAGTCAGTTACCCATTCTTGCATGACCCGGTAAACAAACCAAACAAACGAGGAACATACCCTGGAAGACCTCCATTTGGTAGCAGCCGTAGCTGAAAGCGCAGCGAACAACCTCGGCAATGAAGTACGACCTCATGTGCATATCCCTAGAGGCCGCAAAGCCGATGAGGTTCCTGGTAACAGCCGTAAGTTAGCGTTACACCCAACTTTGGTTGCCAGCACCGGGGAAAGAAAGAAAAATAAAAAGAAAAGGAGGAATATGAGAAAGAGGGGGCAACCTACACCCAAACATAAACATACGGCAGCCCCGTCCACGCCTTCAGCCCCACAAACCGCACATTCTCATACATGACCAACACATCAAGCCCATTCCGGGGATCATCCAACCCATCCAACCTGTCAGCCAGCGTGTTGCGCATGATGCGCGTCGCCAGAACGCATGTCTCCAGCAGGCGGGCCGGCACGCTGTTTGGCGACAAAACCGGAACCAAATCCAGATTTGGAACAGACAAACACCAGCCGCCGTCAGCGAGGCCATCCCAACCTCCAACCGTAACCGGTACGGAGTCCAGCACCCCGCCATCCACCTCCCCCTCCCCGCCGCCCACGGCCGTACTCCCATCACTACTCCACCCCGAGCCGGCATCCGCATCCGAGCCAGGCGAACCCCCCCGATCACAACCACCGCCCAAACCCCCCAAAAACAACCCTGCAAACACCCCCCACGCCCCCCTCAACGCAGCAACCAGTTCCGCACGAGTAGCCGGATCAACATACCGCGCCGCGAGCGACAGATCCTCGCCGTCGCAGAGCAGCAGCGGGCAGGAGCGCAGCTGGTCGCCGGCGGGGAAGGACGGTGGGGTGGTGAGGTGGGTGGTGGGGGTGGGGGTGAGGGGGGTGTAGGCGAGGGGGGTGGACAGGCAAATGCTTTGGAGGGTGTCGGCCCTGTTTGGTTGGTTGTTGTTTGATGGTTAGTGAGGTAGTGGTGGGGGTGGTGGTCGTCCGTAATTGGGGTATGTGTTTTTTCTTTTGTCTTAATTGTTTTTTTTTGTT